CCTTCAGCCTCCTCAACTCCGACAGCTTTCTCTACTAACACAGGGAAAGCAGGCGGCAGACCCGAAGCGTCTCCAGCGCCGACGCGGCCTTCAAATCAGTGCCATGACGGAAAATGTCAGAATGTTCTCAAATCTCATTTTTCTGTGTAAACTTGCATTTGACGTGTTTTTATGAAGGAAGATAACAAGAAACCTCTAGAAATTTGTGGAAAACAAACTTATTTGACGAACATTATATTGCTGCAAGTTATTTATTATGTCTTGTAAATAGGCTAGTGTTGAGATTGACTGTTTTTTATGGTTACAGTTAAGACTCGTGGTCCCTGTCAGTTGGATTGGGGTTACCTGTGTTAGCACTGTTTGCCACACTTTCCAGGTTTGGGTAATAATCATTCCTCAACCTAGAACTCAAATGACCCCTGACTGAAGGTAGGTCAAAGGACTCTAACAATAGACTAAATGAGTGGTTACTAAAAGCTGTTCCAATGAGCTGCTTAATTGGTCATCATTAACCTAAAATGACAGATGTTACTGTTATTTCTATATTATATGAATGCTATTTCCAGATAGTCTAGTGCCAAATTTGTCTAGTTAAATATAAAATTTAGGAACGGCTTTTCTTCTAAAGTTCGGTGTCATTCAAGAGTTGCTAACACAGTGGCAGTGTTAGGTGAAGATGCTGTCTACAAGGTAGATAATATACTGTTTGATACTCAAAACATTCTTCATTTTGTTTAAAGTAGAAAGTACATAATTGTATATTTTAAGTGTTGGGTAAAAAAGTAGTTTTGCATTTTATAAGGTAAAGATGTAAATGATTCAAGTGTAAAGCTCTATTTGGCTTTTAAACATGACATTCTTACCTACTGATTTCTCTTGCTATACGTTGGATGATACTGTGACTCTAGTAAGATTCACTGTTGACATAGTACAACTTACATAGGTAAAAAATATAGCATTGAAATCTAACTTTAAGAATGAGGATTTAAATATTTTCTGTTGTGCAATATCTTAAGGGAAGTAGCTGCCTTTGGGCAAGTGCAGCCATGGCTCCTGGGTCGTGTTTGTGTAAGTATTTAAATAAACACATTCATTTACTTAAGTGAACATTTGACTTTTACTTTACTTTCTCTGCTTGTTTCAAATAATTTCTATCCTAATGCACACAGAGCAAATGAGCTTTGAAGTTATGTCATCTTTAATTTTTTGAAGGGGAAATTGTACCATTTGATCCCTAGCCCAGGGCTCCCCTCACTGGACACAGCTGGCTCTTTTTCTTGTGTATCCTCCCACTGTCAGGCCATACATAAACAAACATTATTTTTTTCTTCACACACATCAATTTTGCATCTTTAAATGGGAACTCCACGTTTTCTGTGTTCAGGAGACATGCCCAGTGATTATAAACAAACCCTATTGTTACTTAAAAAAAAAACAAACAGGGAGGAGCGAGCTGCTGTACAATTGTTTATTTATATTGGCAGCAGCCCCCAGAGCCCTGGACAGCAGCTGTGACACAGGAACAAGAGACTGGCAGTACACAGTGCTCCATTGTAGGTTTCTTTCCTCTTAGCTGGTCACACCCACCACCTGAACTTTCCACAAGACCTTTCTGTGATAGATGCAGGTCAAGGTCACTCATTACAATCTGCCCTAATTCATCTTTTGCTGAGCATGGAAGTCCCTGACTCCCTCAGGAAACTCAGGCCCCTTTGGTCTTAGTACAAAGAGGGCAGTGCCAGCTCTGGCCCACTGACATGACTGAGCCCGGACAGCAAAGGCAGGACACTTCACAGGCTCGCTCCAGCTGGCAGTGACAGCAGTCTTTTGTTTAATTGTTTATTTCTTTGAAAGGCCGAGGAAGAGAGACCTTGCATCTGCTGGTCCACTCTCCCAAATACCTGGCAATAGCCAGGGTTGGGCCAGGCTAAAGCCAAGAGCCAGGAACTCCATGTGGGTGACAGGAACCCAAGTACGTGGGCCATCTTCTGCCTCCCAGGCACAATGGCATGGAGTGGCTGGGACGCACACCACGCATTCCAATATAAGATTTGGGCCTCCCAAGTGCAGGCTTAACCTGCTATGCCACAACGCCTGCCCCTTCCTCTTGGTTTTTAAGTATGAAAACAAGATCCCATTCTTCGTGATCTAAAGGATTAAACTTGGCCAGCTGTCACCTGGCCTGTGTGAAGAAGGCGTGGATCTGCTGTGCTACGGCTTGTCCGACGACTGGCTCCAGTTCTGGGATGGAAGCGTTACTCAGTTGTTGCAGAGTTGGAAACTTCTGAAGCAGAAGGGGAGCTTTGACCTTCCCAACTCCCGGGATCTGCTGCACAGTTCGAAGGAGGTGCGGCTCGGAGAGCTGAGTCCGTTTCTTCCTAAGAAAAGGGTTCTTACTGGGCTCTTTGGTTTGCTCTTGAACCTGAGTTGGAAATTAAAATAAAAGCACATGAGCGCCCTCTGGAGGGCTGGCAGTTTTCTTAAAGTCTGGTTCAGCTAGACCTAAACCAGTTAAGGCCTGACTATTCTTATAGACCAAGTTCTCAGACATCAGCAAAAGTGTTGAAAGATCAGGCATATGACTACACAAAGAGCAAGATAAAAATGGGTAGTTTAAAAAAAAAAAACCCAAGTTTTCACAATGTTTAGGATACAACTACTCGGAGGAATCCAAATACTTTCCATAGATCATTTGGGTTACACAAGACAAGTGGATAAAGACTTGAACTCGATCTGCTTCATGGAGGGCCTGCAAGAAACTGCCAAAGGAGCAACTGTTTTCAGTGAGTGGTGGTACACAAAGCTGATAAAGCTATTTAGGGACGGTAGGGACCGTGAAGCAAGGGGCATGGTAGTGAGGGATCTATGAGCCACACAAGGTTGCCTGCATTTCCAATTTGATTTCCAACTCAAGCTGCACACCAGAGGGGAAATTTAAAACACACAACTGATGCTCAGGTTGTCCCTACCTCCTCCGCTGATCTAATTTTTTAATTGGCCAGAAAGGAAAGCTCATCTATCATGATTTTTTTTAAAGCTCCCCAGAGGGGCCGGCACTGTGGCTCAGTGGGTTAAAGCCCTAGCCTGAAGCACTGGCATCCCATATGGGCGCCGGTTCTAGTCCCGGCTGCTCCTCTTCGATGCAGCTCTCTGCTGTGGCCTGGGAAAGCAGTAGAGGATGGCCCAAGTCCTTGGGCCCCTGCACCCACGTGGGAGACCTAGAAGCTCCTGGCTCCAGGCTTTGGATTGGCGCAGCTCGGGCCGTTGCAGCCAATTGGGGAGTGAACCAGAGGAATGGAAGACCTCTCTCTCTGTAACTCTTTCAAATAAATAAAATAAATCTTTAGAATTTCCTGGGGAGCTTTTTTTTTTTTTTTTTTAATGTGTGAAAAATCAGGCAATCAGAGAACCAGGTTTTTTTTGTTCATTGACGTTCAATGAAGGACATGTGGGTGGGGAGGAGGCAAAGTAGCTGCCAGGGGACATTTTCAGCAGCCTAAGAGCAGGACGGTGAATCATGGCAGTAATCAGGGTCTGGGAGTCTAAATCAGGTTAACTCATCTGCTCCGTGACACACTTCCCTTGGCGGGGGCAGGGGTGGGGGTGTGTGCAAGCCCAGCTGGCCACAGAGGCAGCTTCTGAGCTTCCAAGTCCTCAAAGCGATTTTAGACGCTAACATGGCGGATGCCATGGGCTGGATTGATGGGTTGCAACTATAGCAGGGGCAGAGCTAGCGTACAGGTGAGCTGAGAATCTGCAGGAGCGAGGGCAGCAATACAGGAGCAGGAAGGGATACTTACTAACTGGACAATGAGGCAGGACGCTTCCATCTGGCTGGCCACGGGAAGCAACACCATCCCAAGGTCCAGCACAGTAAACTTCTGTATGGCCGAGAAGTACTGTTCGCTCATCTGTGTTTTCTCAACTATCACAATCCCTTGTAGGTTATTGGACTGCAAAGAAAAAAAAAAGACAGCAGTCCGCTTGGTAACAAGATGCCTTTGGAGGTGGAGAAAGCTATGGCTTTGTGTTTGGATTGGCCAGTGCTTTCATAGCAATTATTCCAAGGGATGGAGGGGTAAGCATACAAATGAAATGTTGTTTCTTTCAGTTCAGTACTTACATTTCTAACCCGAACAAGCCTCTTTCTGTAGCCGTTTCCTGCCACCAAATCAGCTTCGGTGATATAAAGAATGCAAGATCTGTTAGACAGGTAAAAATCTACCGGTGCCAGGCCATCCTCAAAAACGAGCTTAATTTTCCCTTAAAATACAGACCAGAAAATGAGTTCCATGAAGTCTGGGAGAAAAGGCGCAACAGGGAGCAGCGCGCTTCAGCGCGTGGGGAGCCCACTCACCTTGCACCTCCTGCGCCAGCTGCGACCCCCGCCATTTCTCACTCGCCACCACGTGCCCAAGAGGCACGTGCACAGGACCTGGGTCGCCGGGGGGCTTCCCTTCCATCGGTGGTCTCGCTCTAACGCCGGCAATGCAGGTGGCACTTAAGCGCACACAGCCCCGCGTCCCGTTGAACGCCAAGCCCTCTGTGGCAGGATCTCCTCTGCAGAGTATTCTTTCAAAACCTGAATTATTAGCGTAAGAACCAACAAATTCCTGCCCCAGTGCCCGCCTTTCCTCACTTTTGTGACTTGCCTGGCCCCGGACGCGCCCACTAGGCCCGCGCTTCGGATCTTCATTCTAGTCCAGGGCCCGTGCGGAGCCGGCGGGACCCGCCTCCTCCTCCCAGTCTGGGGGCTCCTGTACCACCCGAGGCCGCGCCACTTCCGTGTACGTCAGCAGCGCTCGCCCAGTTTTTCATCCTGCCCGCCCTCCGCCCCCTGCAACGTGGGATAGGCTGTGGCGCCAGGGATGGACACCTGAGCAGGCCAATTAGAGAACAGACAGTTCAGCCGCCTCCCGCACTGGTGGGATTTGAACGGGACGCGCTGGTTGCCAAGAGCGACGGGTGTGGGAGTAACCCGGGAGCTGATTGGTTCAGGAGGAAACAGAGCCATTGGCCGACGGGGTTTTTGCGAGGTCTGGTGTGAAGAGAAAGCGTCGGGAGCTCGGCTGGAGTAGTGCGGGCTCCTGGCTGTGGAGGGACTTCTCTCGTAGGCTCAACCCCGGGCTGGCCGCCGCCCCGCAGCAGGCATGTTCCCGGGATTTCGGAGAGGCCGCCAGGACCAGTTTGTGAGTAAATCCTCGCGCGTCCCGCGCCTGGGTTCGCGGTGCCGGGAACTGAGGGGCGAGGGCAGAAGCGGTTGGGATGTGGCCTGTGATGGAGGCCAGGCGGCGGCTGAGGAGAGGGATTTTCAGTCAGGAAGCCCTGAGTTTTCGTGGTCCGGGGTGGGCCGCGGTCGCACGGGAATCCCTCTGTCTGCCGGGCGAGCTCGCTCCTGCTCCGCTGCTCAGTGTCCCTGCTGGGCAGTCGTTCGTGGTTCCTTGCCCTGCCACCCGCCACGTCCACTCCTCGAGCGGCCCCACCCTGGCCTCCAGCATCTCCCTGGATTGGGTTCTTAGCGCCTCGCTAGTTCCTCCGCGTTCACGTTCTGCCTCGGTGCCAAAGGCGTCCTTTAGAGTGCGGATCTGCCCGTGCTGCCTTAGCGCGCAGTGTTGCCAGCATCAGCACCACCACACACGTGCCCCCCAACCACTTGTACTCCCAGTCCCATTCCCTGAGCACCTCTCCTTTCTTACCCTTTGATGCAGGGGGCTGACTTCAGAAATCCGTTAACTTCCTCCCCTGCCACCTGTTGAGCCTACCAGTCACTGCTCCTGGGAGCAGGAAGTGCAATCCAGTCTCCCATGGACAGAGTGGACAGTGAGAGAGAGAGAGACAGACAGAGAGAAAGGTCTTCCTTTGCCGTTGGTTCACCCTCCAATGGCCGCCGCGGCCGGCGCAATGCACTGATCCGATGGCAGGAGCCAGGTGCTTCTCCTGGTCTCCCTGTTTTTTTAACCACCCGTGGATCCCCCGACCCTAACTTAGGCACACAGCACGCTGTAGAACATCACTTGGGCACCTTTTGGGGAGCTATGATTTGCTGCAGCCGTCCAGCATCTCCGGGAAGGATCTTACAGCATATCGCTAGCCTTGGAAAATATCAAAATTCAGGTTTTGAAATACTGCTTCTACTGAATAGGTGTTGCCTTCACACCACTGTTGAAAAGTCAGAGGGCAGGCATTTCTTCTGGTGGTTAGGACGCCAGTGGGGTCCCACAGCAGAATGCCTGAGTTTGATGCTCATCTCTGGACTCCAGCTTCACACTAATGTGGATCCAGGGAGGCAGCAGGGATGGCTCGAGTGATTATGTTCCTGCTGCCTGCATGGGAGACCTGGGTTGGGTTCCTGACTCTCAGCTTTTGTCCTAACTAGGGGCTATTGCCAGCATTTGGGGAGTAAGCCAGGAGATGGGAGCGCTTTATCTCCCTCCCTCTCTTCCATTCTGCTTCACAAATAAATGAATTAATCATTTTTTAAAAGATGCATTTAAAAACACATACCCTAAGTTGAACCATTGTAAGCGGGTTCCATCTGTAATTACTGGGGAGTTGGCCAGAGGATTAGCTTTTTTTAAATTTTTTTTTTTTTTTTGACAGGCAGAGTTAGACAGAGAGAGAGAGAGAGACAGAGAGAAAGGTCTTCCTTTTCCATTGGTTCACCACCAAATGGCCGCTATATCCGGCATGCTGCGCCAATCCAAAGCCAGGAGCCAGGTGCTTCTTCCTGGTCTCCCATGTGGGTGCAGGGCACAAGCACTTGGGCCATTGTCCACTGCACTCCCTGGCCACAGCAGAGAGCTGGACTGGAAGAGGAGCAACCTGGACAGAATCCGGCGCCCCAACCGGGACTAGAACCCGCGATGCCGGCGCTGCAGGCAGAGGATTAGCCTAGTGAGCCATGGTGCCGGCCCAGAGGATTAGCTTTTGGGGAGTAAGTACAGAAAGAGAATTTCAGCTGGAGAGTGCAGCATATACTGAGGCCTGGTAAAGAATGAATTATTTGCTTTTAGGAAAAGGAAGGCAATTCTGAGTGCTAAGGCATCGGGAAGATGCGCAGGAATAAAGAGGGGAGCAAGAGATGACTGTGGATCCATTGGTAGGAAGCAAGCAGTAGAGACTTTCTGTGACATGCTGGACCATTTTCCTGTCATCGGGGGCGTGACGCTGCCCACTCTGGAATCAGAGCCCTTCAGAGCCTGTCATTATGGCTGCCCCCTCCCAGATGTGTCTGCACGCCAGTGCGCTGGAGTGGGTGCTGCCTCCAGGAGCACTGGCACCAACGTCTTGCCCCATTCCCTTCTTCATGTTATTCCCTCTTCTTAGAGTACTTTTCCATCACATTTCCAAGTGAGAGCAGTGGTTGTCTTGGAAGTCCCAGTCTAAGTGCCTGTGGGTTTTCCTCCAAGGTGAACATTTGAGGTCTCCTTGCTGGTCCCCAGATATGAAGGAGCCCTTCCCTCCTTCGACAACAATATATTTTTTTTTAATTTTTAAATTTTTTTTTTAATTTTTTTTGACAGGCAGAGTGGACAGTGAGAGAGAGAGAGAGAGAGAAGGGTCTTCCTTTGCTGTTGGTTCACCCTCCAATGGCCGCCGCGGCCAGCGCACTGTGCTGATCCGAAGCCAGGAGCCAGGTGCTTCTCTTGGGCTCCCATGCGGGTGCAGGGCCCAAGCACTTGGGCCATGCCCCACTGCCCTCCCAGGCCACAGCAGAGAGCTGGCCTGGAAGAGGGGCAACTGGGACAGAATCCGGCGCCCCAACCAGGACTAGAACCCGGTGTGCTGGCGCCGCAGGCGGTGGATTAGCCTATTGAGCCTCGGTGCCAGCCAACATTTTGTTTTTACCTCTCCTTTGGCACTTCCCAGAATTCAATGCTCCATTTGGGTGGTTTTCCCCAGTACTCTACCTCAAGGAAGACGACTGGCTTTCTTCATGGTTCTCATGGTGTTCTGCCTCTAGTGGGGTGAAGAATGCTTGGTGCCCAGAAATGAAGATTGGGCTAACCTCAGAATCCTCCAAGAGCCTCCCAGTTATCTAAAGCATGTGCTGGGACTCCCATTGTGTGTCATTGCCTGAATCCTTGAGAATCTTGATTAAGTCTCTGCCAGGTGTGGGTTAGGGTGTCAGGCCTGAGTTCCAGGCCTAGTAACTGAAGAAAGAAAGCAGCCTGCTTCTCAGGAAGTCTCCCTGCCCTGCAGAGGGAGGCACATGAGACATCACTGGGGACAGTGCTGGGGGATGAGTGGATAGGCTAGAGGGTGACCCTAGGGAGTGGTCAGGGAAGCTGCTCCGCGCATGGAGGGCCAAAGGGGCCCCACAGTGCTGCTCCCTGGGTGGCTTGCTTGTCTGGCCAGATGGGGACTGAGGGTGTTAGGGAGTAGTGGGGCTCCTCAGATGGCTGGATCCCTGAGTGGACAGTGCGGTGATCCTAGGGGAGGGTGGTGGTGGCAGGACCCAGGTGATTCTTCTCCATCCCAGTGACCTCTGCTAATTTCATCTGTGCAGAAACACATCATCCATGGCCTTCTCCCTGCAGCCAGCATCGCCCCAAAGCCAGCTGTGCCCCGCACACCTCCTCCCCGCAGCCCCAACCCGTCTCCAGAGAGACAAAGGTGAGTCCCAGAGGAGCAGCACTGTACCTGCCACCAAGCCCTGGATCCTGCAACTGTTTGAACTGTCTACACAGTTACAAATAGGGTAGTTAGAATCCTGTGCCTTGAGTTTTGTACCACAGTCCTGTAATGTACACTTACATGGGTTTGAGATTCTCACATTGCACAATTGAATGTAATTAATATATTTCAAAATATGAGCAGTCAGGCCCAAGTGTTCAGGTTAATAGTGCTTTAAAGTGAATTTTGAGTTGGTGCACATAATTTTCTTTAAACACAAGTCTGCCTTTTCCAGGAACTGCTTTGGGCAGGGAGAAAGAGCACCTTCACTGCTCTCACCTGGATTCCCCATCCTCAGGTGCTCCCAACCCACCACCAGCTGACCCATTCCTAGAAGTACCTGAGAGCCCTGCTGTGCCTTCCATGACTTTAGACACAGGAGAATTTTAGACTATTTTTAAGCCATTAAACGTTGGACAATGGGCAGACATTCAGCCTATTGGTTAAGACCCCCACGTGCCACATTGAAGTGCCGGGATTTAATTCCCAGCTCCTGCTCCTGCCTCCAGCTTCCTGCCAGCAGAGACCCTAGGAGGCAGTGATGTATGGCTCAAGTAGTGGGTTCCTCTGCCCCCATGGGAGACTGGATTGCACTTCCTGCTCCCAGGAGCAGTTGCAGACATTTGAAGAGTGAACCAGCAGATGGGAGCTTTCTCTCTGCTTCCAAAATAAATTTTTAAAAAATTAAAAAAAAATTTTTTTTAATTAAACATTGCCAACAGTGAATGAGAGCTAACTTCAGGTGATACCTCCTTGCCTGTGTTTTGGTAACCCTTGTATGCCTTCTGATAACAAACACTCTGAATTACCTTAGGGTTTGTTTCTTTCTTCAGTAGGAGCTTGGTAACTGGAAGAGCTGTTTGGGGATGTTTATTTTGTGTGAAGTACTCTGGAACCTGCTTGAGAAACATTGTTTCATTTCATCCTCTCAGTGACCCCATGGGAGAAGTCCTCCTGTCACCTCTGTTTTGGGTCACATGTGAGGCTCAAGTGTTAGTAACTGGTCCCCAGTGGCCTTGCTGTGACACAAATATGAGTCTATCCAGCAATTCAGTGTTTGTGTGAGCAACTTTTTTTTTTTTTTTTCAGATTTATTTATTTGAAAGACAGAGTAAGAGAGAGAGAGAGAGGGAGAGAGAGAGGTCCTCTATCTGCTGGTTCACTCCCCAAATGGCCACAACTGCCAGGTCTGGGCCAGGCTGAAGCCAGGAGCCAGGAACTCCATCCTGGTTTCCCATGTGAATGGTGAGGGCCCAAGTACTTCAGACATCTTCTACTGCTTTCCTGGAAGTGGAGCAAGCCAGACTCACACTGGCAGGCTTCACAAGCAGTGGCTTAACCTACCGCACCGCCACGTCGGCTCCTGCTGTTGTCGTTGGTTTTAATTCTGTATGTAGAAACTCCATAATATGGTGTTATTGTTTGTGCATTAGTTAGTCACTTAGCATTCTAAAAGTAGTTTTAGTGAGGTAACTTGTGTAATTAACTATTTAAAGTGCATAATTTGACAAGTTTTGATATATCCTTATACCTGTGAAACTATTATCACAATCAAGATATTAAATGTATCCATCGCTCCCAAAAGATTCCTTGTGCCTTTTGGCAGTTCTTTCCTTCCACCTTTCTCTGCCATTTCACTTTCACCTGATTTCTGTCGCTGTATATTAGTTTGTATTTTCTAGAATTTTATGTAACTGATAATCATTGTTACGGCCTACATTGTGGTACAGTGGGTTAAGCCACCACTGGTGACAGCAGCATCCCATATCAGAGTACTGGTTCAAGTCCTAGTTTGCTTTGATCCAGCTTTCTGATAATGTGCCTGGGAAAGTAGCAGGTGGCGGCTCCAGCACTTGGGTCCCTAGCAGCCATATGGGAAACCTGGATGGAATTTTTAGCTCCTGGCTTTGGCCTGGCTGTTGCAGCCATTTGGGACGAAAGATGAAAGATACCTCTCCCTCTCTCCCACCCTCCCTCCACCCCCTGTCTTTCAAATAAATAAATAAATAAATATTTTTTAAAAATTATTGCTGGTTTCTTTCACTCAGCATAATCCATTTTGTAAAAGTCCATACATCCTTTTTATTGCTGAATAATATTCCATTTTATGAATAGGCCATCATTTGTTTATCCATCCACTTGCTGATGATATTTGGATTGTTTCTAACTTTTGGTTACTAGAATAAAGCTGCTGTGAACATGTATGCACAAATCCTTAGATGCATGCTTCCATTTGTCTTGGATAAATATTTAGGAATGGAGTAGCTGGATCATATGCTAGGTGGGTACTTAATTTATTATGAAACCGGTGAACTGTTTTCTGTAGTTTTAGGGCTCAGTTCTCAAGACTGCCCATGTCCCCCTTCAGATGCCAGTCACAAGCCATTTGTTTGACCTGCATTTCTGGCTGGCTGGCTGGCTGTAAATCAGGATCCCCACAGTCTCCTTTCTAGGTTTGAATAATTTGCTAGAGTGGCTCACAGATCTCAGGGAAATATGCTTATCTACATATTATATTATAAAGAGTATTTAAAGGATACAAATCAGACAGGCAGCCAGATGAACAGCTCTGTAGGGCGAGGTCTGGATGGGCACTGATCACGTGAGTGCTCCCTGTGGAGTTGGGGTTCGCCACTCTCCTGATACATGGGCACCTTTTGTTCATCTTCCTGGAAGCCTCGATGTGTTCAGCTGTTTGCAAGCTCTCTGGACACAGTGTTTTTTGGATTTTTATGGAAGCAATATTACATCAGCATGATTGATTACGCCATTGGCTATCAGTGATCAACTTAACCTTTAGCCTCTCTACCTTCCCCAGAGTTTAAGGGGTAGGGCTAAAAATTCCTGACCTCTGCATGCCTGGCTGGATCCCCAGGCAACTGGGTCCCTATCCTGTGGTTATCTGTGAAGGTTTCAAAAATCACTTGACGAAAACTCAATTCTGAAGCTGTTCCAGGGCTACTTCTGGAACGAAGGTGAAAAAGGCTGGAAAGTTGAACAAAAGATGCTCTTGCTGCTCTAATCACTTAGGAAATAGCAAAGGTTATGGGAGCTGTGAACCAGGAAAAAAAATCTGTATGTATCATAGTTTTGTTACCCATCCAGATTGTGGGCCCACTTCCTGTTGGGTTCAATCAAGAAATGCACCAGAAGGAGCTGTCATGCAAATATTGATTTAGAACCCTGGGCATAATGCCCAAAGCTCCCAAGCTGTGACTCCCAGAGTAGGAGAAAGAGTTTATCTTTTATTTTAGAGGGAAATGAATATGGAAGAAGGAGGGTTCCTGTTATCACATGTAGGCGTGGTGCAAGCTCATGGCAGGCACAGTTCAGAAGCATGCTCTAGCACAGGTTACATGTTACGGTAATAAGGTGTAAGCTTCTCCTGGGGCAGAGATCTTAGTATTAAAAAGAAGCAAAAGGGGACCTTTGGATACTCTTTGACCCATCTCCGCAGGTGTTGCTCTTACAGCAGGGTCTGGGCTGGTCCAGTGGCTGGGGATTGCATCTCATGGAATGTGACTGAAAACGTAGAAGAAAACTTGGGAGAACATCAGGTGCTTTTAAAGTCTTGAAATAGAAATGAGTCGTAGTATGGACTGAGCTGCGTAGGCATCAACCTCTGCTACTCTCACAGTAGTGTGTCTCCTGGTGGTTTTATTTTGCATTAAAAAAAGATTTATTTGAAAGGCAGAGAAACAGAGACATCTTCATCTGCTGGTTTATTCGCAAAATGGCCAGTTGGGCCTGCGCCAGGCCAGAACCGGGAGCCCAGAATTCCACCTGGGTCTCCCATGTGGATGGCAGGGACCCAACTGCTTGGGCCATCACCCACTGCTTTCCTGGGTGTGTTAGCAGGGAGCTGGGTCAGAAGCAGAGTAGCCAGTACTCAAACTGGGACTCTAATGTGGGATGCAGGCATCCAAAGTGGAGGCTTAACCTGCTGCACTATGTAGGCCCCTATTTTGTATTTTTCTAATTAACCTGCTGCACTATGTAGGCCCCTATTTTGTATTTTTCTAATAACTAATGGTGCCAGGGATCTTTGCTTGTTTGTCATGTGTATACTTTTCTTATTTATAATTTTAATTTTTTTATATCTCAAGGTTTTTTTTTATCATCTGTATAGTTTTTTTTTCTTTTTCTTTTTCTTTTTTTTTTTTTTTTTTGACAGAGTGGACAGTGAGAGAGAGAGAGACAGAGAGAAAGGTCTTCCTTTGCCATTGGTTCACCCTCCAATGGCCGCCGTGGCCAGCGCACCGCGCTGATCTGATAGCAGGAGCCAGGTTCTTCTGGTCTCCCATGGGGTGCAGGGCCCAAGCACCTGGGCCATCCTCCACTGCACTTCACTGCACAGCAGAGAGCTGGCCTGGAAGAGGGGCAACCGGGACAGAATCCGGTTCCCCAACCGGGACTAGAACCCGGTGTGCCCGCGCTGCTAGGTGGAGGATTAGCCTAGTGAGCCACGGCGCCGGCCCCATCTGTATAGTTTCTGTAGCAAAGTCATTTGTTCAAATCTTTTCTAAATTTTAAAAATTGGGTTGTGGAGCTGGCACTGTGGTGTAGAAGGTTAAGCTTCTGCTTGCATTGCCAGCATCCATTATGGGTGTCGGTTCAAGTCCTGGCTGCTCCATTTCTGATCAAGCTCCCTGCTATTTTCCTGGGAAAACAGTGGGAGATGGCCAAGTGCTTGGGCCCCTGCACCTACATAGAGACCCAGATGAAGCTCCTGGCTCCTGGCTTCAGCCTACCCCAGCCCTGGCCGTTGTGGCCATTTGGGGAGTGAACCAGCAGATGGAAGCTATGTCTCTCTCCTTTTCTCTCTGTATTTCTACTTTTAAAATAAATTAAAAAAAAAAATTGGGTTCTTTGTCTTATATTGTATTCTGAATGTTCTCTATATGTTCTGGATACAAGTCTTATCAAATATGTGAAATGCAAACATTTTCAAACCAGCGCCCATATGGAATGCTGGTACTACAGGCCCCTTAATAATGTCTTTGAAAGAGCAGAAGTTCTTGATTTGTTGGAAATCTAATTTATAAATTTTTTGTTTCATAGGTCATGCTCTGAGTGCAATAACTAAGAAATCTTTACTTACCCAGGGTTACAAAGCCATTCTCCATATTTTCCTCTAGAAATGTCAGTTTTAGGCTTTATATTAAGATGTGTGATCCACTTGGAGTTAAATGTGGAAGGTATATATCCAAGTTTGCTTGTTTTCCATGTGGAAATTCAGTTGTTCCAGCACCATTTTGTTGTGTGCATGGATATACATATATATATATATCTATATATATACATATATATATATTTAAAGATTTATTTATTTAGTTGATAGGATGACAGAGACAGAGCAAGAGAGAACACAAGAGCGATCTTCAGTCTGCTGGTTCATTCCCCAAATGGCCACAATGGCCAGGGCCGAGGCAGCCCAAAGCCAAGAGCCTGGACCTTCATCTGGGTCTCCCATGTGGGTGGCAGGGACTCAAACACTTGCACATTCTTCTGCAGTTTTTTCCCAGCCATCAGCAAGTAGTTGGATCAGAAGTGGAACAGCCCAGACATGAACTGGCACCCATATGGGATGCTGGTATTATAGGCAGCAATGGTCTTACCCACTATGCCACGATGCGGGCCCTGGGCATGGGTGTATTCTAATCTTTTTCTAGGTCCTTGAAGACAAGAATTACATGCAGACATTTATAAGGTGCACCAAGTGATAAGATTTATTTAAAAGATAAGAAAGTGAGCACACGTACACATGTGAGTGTGGGTTGCTGCACACAGAGAAATATCCCTTATGAGTGGGCCAGAGGATTGCCCAAAGGGAGAAGGTGCAAAGGGGGAAGAGAGAGCACCCGAGTAGCACGTCCATCCTTGCTCCAAAGCAAAAGAGATCTCTCCCCAGTTGCTGGCCTCTTTTGTGAGGTAGGGGGTAGTGCCTCTACATGCATGAAACCACCTGGGAATTTTATGATACCCCCATGAATTCTGTGTGGACCTTAATATCCATGTTTTTATGGTGTTCTCCCCTTCCCCCTTCAAGGTCCCAAGGTGCATCCCGGGAAAGGGTGCATTTTGATTGACAGGTGGAAGGATAGCATTATATTGGGGGCTTGCAAGGACTTCCAGTTATCTCAGACCTAAACTAGCCACCTAGTTACACCACATCAGTATGGTGAGATATATTAATTATATATTGCTGTGTAATAAAGTATGCCAAAACTTGGTGGTTTATAACATGAAACAATAGCATTCCAATCCATTGATTTTTTTTTTCCTATGCAGTATGCAATCTGATGTTAATCTTAGTGTATTTTTCATGACTGATATTGTTATTTTCATCTCCTGAAGTTCAGGTCTTTTTTTTTTTAAAGATTTATTTATTTACTTGAAAGTCAGAGTTACACAGAGAGAGAAGGAGAGGGAGAGAGGAAACAGAGAAATGGAGAGAGAGAGACAGAGAGGTCTTCCATCTGCTGGTTCACTCCCCAGATGGCTATAACGGCTGGAACTGAGCTGATCAGGAGCCAGGAGCTTCTTCCGGGTCTCCCACGTGGGTGCAGGGGCCCAAGGACTTGGGCCATCTCCTACTGCTTTCCCAGGCCATAGCAGAAAGCTGGATCGGAAGTGGAGCAGTCGGGGCTCGAACTGCTGCCCATATGGGATGCTGTCGCTGCAGGCGGCAACTTTACCTGCTACACCACATTGCCGGCCCCTGAAGTTCAGGTCTTTATAAAAAATTTTCCCTATCTCTATGTAGCTTTTTGAACATATGAAATACCATTATAATAGCTGTCTCAGTGTCTTCTCCAAAAATTCTAACATGTGTGTGTAATTCGGAATAGGTTGCAGTTGATTGATAGTCTCTTTATTATGAATGATGAAAGAAAAATTCTGGCAGTTATTGAGGCACAGTGAGTTAACCTGCTGCTTCGGATCCCACATCCATATCTCAGTGCCTAGGGTTAAGTCCTATCTCCACTGCAAACAGGCTTCCTGCTAATGAACCTGGGAGGCAGTGCTGATGGCTTGAGTACTAGGGTCCCTGCCACCTGGATGCTGTTCCTGGCTGTGGTCTGGCCTAGCCTCCAGTGTCGTGGGTACTTGGAGAATGAACCTGAGGATGGAAGATTGATCTTTCTCTCCCCCAAAGCCCCACTTACAAATAAATAAACAAATCCTGAAAAGTTCTGTGATGTCCTAAATTTAATTAACTCCCAGTATGTATGTAGAAATCTTGATTTAAATCCCATCACTGCCTACCAGGGCCACCTCTTCCTGATTAAAATTAACTTGCAGAACTGTTAACCTCAGTCAACCCAGATACAACAGGTACTTCTCTTATCCCAAAGGCCCTCCACCCTTCTCATTATTCTGCCCCTTTTAGCTGAAGCTAATACACGTTCAATGTAAACAACTTAGCTTTCTCCAAAGGTCATAAAAACACTCTCAGCTGTAGGCCTGGACATGTTTCCAACCCATCTGTAATGGCTCAGTGAACCCTTTTATTTCAAACATCTCAGTCTCAAGAGCTCTGGTTTAACATGGGTCATGTTTTCCTGACTCTGCGTGCTCTGTTATCTTGAATTGGTTATAAAGTGTTGTGAATTTTACCTTGCTAAGTGCTTTTGTATTCCTATAAATCTTCTTGGACTTTGTTCTGGGATGCAGTTAAAGGAAATAGTGTGACCGTCTGAGTCTTGTCCTTAGGACCTGTTCCATGGGATCTGGAGTGGCGCTCAGCCAGGGTGAATTTTCCCCCACTGTTCTGAGCCCTGTGCTCCATGTCCTGTGAGTGGTAAGTTTATTTCTGTCTGGTGGCAACAGCCACCGTTTAGACCATATGTAAGCACCTGTGCCTCTACTCCTTTCGGATGTTCTTCCTCTGAGCTCAGGTCATTTTCTCATATGTGTATACCAAGGAATATTCTGAACACCCATGGGGACCTTCTGCAGATCTCCTGGGTCCTGTGTGCCACTCCTTCCTCTCTAATACCCCTTCCTGCAAAGTCTATCAGCCTAGGTGTCCCCAGACTGTCACCTCCATCTCCCTGCCTCAGGGAGACTTCCGGAATCCACTCCATCTCTTGTCTCTTGCTGTGACCTGGAAATTGTCCAGGCAGTAAGTTGGGACAGTTGTGTTGTTTTTTTTATTGTTTCTTGTTTTTTTTTTTTTTTTTTGTTTGTTTGTTTTAAGATTTATTTGAAAGGCAGAGTTTCAGAAAGAGAGAGAGGGGGAGGGAGAGACAGAGATCTCCCATTTTCTGGTTCACTCCCCAAATGGTCCCAACAACCAAATATTGGCCTGTCCAAAGCCAGGAGCCAGGAGGTTCGTTTAGGTTTCTCTCGTGGGTATAGGGGCCCAAGCACTTGGACCCTCATCTTCTGCTTTTCCAGGCCATTATTAAGGAGCTGAATTTGAAGAGGAGCAGCCAGGACTCAACTGGCACCCATATGGGACTCTGGCATTGCAGGCTGTGGTTTAACCCACTGTGCCACAATGCCAGCCCTGTTTTGCTCTTTTTTAGGCAGGAGGTAAATCTGTTGCTTTGTCTTCACTGTGTTTTTGGAAAATTTTCAAGTGTTTTGAAATTTTTATTCTCTCTTTTTTTTTTTAAATTTTCTGTTCTGACTTTTTAACACATTACTTGAATAAAGGCTTTGGAGTCTGACCACCTGAATTAGAGACCTGGTTCCACAACCTGTCGGCTAGGAAATCTTTACAAGTCATTGGATTTCCATGAAAAATGAGACACCAGTAATAAGTGCTGATGCAAGTGATGTGAGAATCAGATGAGGTTGTCTGATGGCACATAGACTGTGGGCACAGAGTCAGGGCAGGAGGCAAACCTCGAGTGATGCAGGTGCATGGTGCTTCAGCCTTCCCCTGTGGTATTCATGGCTCACTGTCTCAATGGGCTGTTTTTGTGCCTAGGTCTGCTCTGGCTGCAGCCATCCTGGCAACAACGTTGACTGGGCGGACAGTCGCCATTCCTCAGCCTCGCCAGAGATCCCAATCTGAAAACAACACGATCTACGCCGAAAAGGACAGCTTCATTGAGCCCTATGCCACCTCCTCGGAGCAGAGACTTCGGTAGGGATGGGACCCCTGGCTCTGCTTCCTGTCAGGGCAGAAGAGGAGCAGCCCAGCATGGTTTCTGTGTGTGTGTGTGCACACATGTGCATGTGTCTATGGCTGGAGGTCAGGTTTCCACCACCCGTGTCAAAGGGGCACTGTCCAGGGATCTTAGTTACTCTCAGATCAAAATTTTCTCCAGAGTGGATCTTGTTCAATTATGACTTGTTTTAGAAACATTGGTGCTTTTCATGGCTGCACAGAGCCAGTGATTTCAGAGTTACTTTATCCCTTGGAAGGATTCTGTGGGTCGCACCTCAACAGTTAGAGTTGTCACTCATCACCTCTCACATGGCTGTCCTCTGTTTATAACTTACTAATTTTTCTTTCCTCGCCATCTGTCCTAAGCCTTTTTTCTTTAACATTTTTCCTTCTCAAGCTGGGTTTGAGCTGACACAGAGCCAGGGGGTCAGGAAGCCTCCCTCCTGAGGAAGAGAAGGCCGAGGTGAGAGCTTGGGGGTGCAGGAATCAACCAGGGAAGCTCGAGGGTTGGAGGAGGTCAGTGTGGGGCTGGGATGAGCACTACAGTTGGAGAAGAGAGGATATGACATAGGAGCAACTGCAAGAAGACCCTTGCGCCTGGGAGGACCCCAGTGGGCTGGAGAGGCCTGAAGATTGGGGTGGAGGACAGCACTCAGATGAGGGTGCCCTGGCACCTTGAAGGGTGGGTGTCTCCTCCGTGAGTGGGGGCGAGAGCTGAAGGGCTTTTGGTGTTTGAGGGGGAGTAGCAGGGAATATCAAATTTGCCTTTTTTTTTTTTTTAAGATTGATGTATTTATTTATTTGAAAGGCAGAGTTACAGAGAGGCAGATAAAGAGAGAGAGAGAGAGGTCCTCCATCCGCTGGTTTACTCCCCAATGGCTGGAGCTGTGCCGATCTGAAGCCAGGAACCAGGAGATTCTTCCAGGTCTCCCACGTGGGTGCAGGGGCCCAAGGACTTGGGCCATCTTCTACTGCTTTTCCAGGCCGTAGCAGAGAGCTGGATCGGAAGTGGAGCAGCCAGGACTCAAACTAGTGCCCATATGGGATGCTTGCACTGCAGACAGCAGTTTTACATGCTGTGCCACAGCGCTGGCCCCCAAATTTGCCTTTCTTAACTGTCGTGTGTGTGTGTGTGTGTGTGTGTGTGTGTGTATGTATATATATATATGTGTGTGTGTATGTATATATATACCGGGTTTATATATATATATATATAAATATATATAAAGATAGGGCTTTAACCTACTATGCCACAGCACTGGCCCCATTTCTTTTTTTTTAAATCCATGCATATGATGGGTCTTTTTAAAGTTCATAGAAAAATGTGTATTATTAAAAATTCAAGCATGAGTTTTAATTTTTTGTGCCAAAAACATATTCTTTTTTCATAAACTTTTTAAAATACCCCTGTACTTAATGCATTTTCTTCTAGGCCCTGTTTTGATTTTTATTTTTTACATTTAAATCTTTGTTCCTTATTGAGATATTTGAATGTGGCCCATTTTTCTTCAGTTAAGAATTATACTCAGCTGAACATGAACTAAAGATGAGGAGTGGGCATTTGACCTGGCAGTTACGATGCCCCCATCCCACGTCTGAGTACCTAGGGGCATTTCCCAGCTGCTGTTCCTGGCTCTAGCTTCCCACCAGTGCTGAGCCTGGGTGGCAGCAATAATGACTCAAGGAGTTGGATTCCTGCCTCCCGTGTGGAAGACTTGGATTGCATTCCAAGTTTCTGGTTCCAAACCCGGATTGTTGGCTATTGCAGGCATTACATTACACCTCTCGGGGAAAAAAAAAGAAAAAGTAAGGAAATGGTCCAAAAATTCATTCAAAAGAATAAGCAAATAAAGCTATCAGAAAATTGGAGGCCGGCGCCATGGCTCACTAGGCTAATCCTCCACCTGTGGCGCCGGCACCCCGGGTTCTGGTCCCAGCTGGGGCGCCGGATTCTGTCCCGGTTGCCCCTCTTCCAGGCCAGCTCTCTGCTGTGGCCCGGGAGTGCAGTGGAGGATGGCCCAAGTGCTTGGGCCCTGCACCCGCATGGGAGACCAAGAGGAAGCACCTGGCTCCTGGCTTTGGATCGGTGCAACGCGCTGGCCGCAACACACCGGCCATAGCGGCCACTTGGGGGGTAAACCAACGGAAAAAGGAAGACCTTTCTCTCTCTCTCTCTCTCTCTCTCACTCACTCACTGTCTAACTGCCTGTCCAAAAAAAAAAAAAAAAAAAAAAAATCTGGAAAGAATACTAGCTCCCTTGTATTTTAAAATATTACTGAAGTGGAAAAAAGTGCAAGTTCTAGGGCCAGCACTATGGTGCAGCAGGTTAAAGCCCTGGCCTACATTGCCAGCATCCCATATGGGCCCCGAGTCCCAGCTGCTCCACTTCTGATCCAGCTCTCTGCTATGGCCTGGGAAAGCAGTAGAAAATGGCCCAAGTCTTTGGGACCTGCACCCATTTGGGAGACCCGGAAGAAGCTCCTGGCTTTGGATCAGCTCAGCTCTGGCTGTTGCTGTAATTTGGGAGGGAACTAGTGGATGGAAGACCTCTCTCTGTCTGTTCTACCTCTCTCTCTAACACTTATCTTTCAAATAAATAAATAAATAAAATTGCAAGTTCTGGTGCAGTGGCAGCAAGGTGCCCTGGAATGCCCTAGAGTAAGCCCAGTGTGTACAGCATACTGCATCCATGATAAGATCCAAGGGGAAGGAAAGAATTCAACAGTGCTGATTAGTGGTATTAAAAACAACTCAGCTTCCAGCCTTGCCTCAGTCATACACCAATATAAATTCCCATTGAAGGACAATGTTAGGTATGTACACACAAATAGAACCATAAATTCCAATATCCAGTTTTAACAAATTTGTCAAGGCACGATGACTGCTATTTACTTCTAAGCTAAGAATTTAGAAGGTTAAAATAAAGGGGTGGGGGGCCTGGGTGCTGTGTCAAAGTGGGTGAAGCCACTGACTGAGACACAGGCATCCTATTTAGGCACTGGTTCAAGTCCTGGCTGCTCCACTTCCAATCCTGCTCCCTGCTAAAGCGCCTGAGAAATCAGCGGAAGATGGCCCAAGTGTTTGGGCTCCTGCACCCACGTGGGAGACCCAGAAGTAGCTCCTGGCTCCTGGCTCTGGATTGGCCCACTTCCTGCCTTTGTAGCCATTTGGGGAATGAACCAATTGGTGGAAGATCTCGCTGTCTCTGTCTCTCTCTGTGACTGCCTTTCAAAGAAGTAAATATTTTTTTAAAAGAAAGGTATCTTAAAAAAAAAAAAAAAGATTTACTTATTTGAAAGGCAGAGTGACAGAGAGAGGGAGGGAGATCCTCCATCCACTGATTCACTTCCCAACTCCCCAAAGGGCCACAACAGCTAGGGCTACACCAGGCCTACACCAGGAGCCAGGATCTGTGTCTCCCACCTGTGTGGCAGGAACCCAAGTACTTGGACCATCTTCCAGTCCTTTCCCAGGCACATTAGCAGGGAGCTGGAATTGAAAGTGGGGCAGCCACGACTAGAGCCAGTGCTCCAGTACTGGAAGCCAGCATTACAAGCAATGACTTAACCTGCTATGCCAACAACAGCCTCGCTGCTTGATTCTTACCCTTTAAAATGTTGACTGTATAGCAAGGCAGATTGTATCAAAAACAGAGAAAACTATAAAAACAACAAGAAAAACTACAAATGCTGAGTATACAAAGAGGAGTGACAGTGGGTAATGCAGTCTTTTTGCTCCTGTATATGTTGTAGCACCTTACAGCACTTTTATGTTGAGGGTCCGGAGGCATGGCATTTGACACGCGTGTGTACATGTTGATGTCAAGTTATGAATGGCTTGTTTTGTTTTATTGCTTCATGTTCTAACACAGGCGAAGTTGGCAGAGTGAAAGGAGAACTTCTTTACCATCCTTTGAGATGCTGAGCTGTGGAGAGGAAGAGGATGATGAAACGGAGCTCTCCTCCAGCTCCAAGAAGGCAGGAGATGGCAGTGCCCAGAAAGAAGAGGGAGGGTGCCATGATGCCGAGTATGCGAAGCCACACAGAAATCAGGTGATGTGCTCATGCCAGAGTTTCTTCTTTACATGTACCCTGATGGAGTAAGGATTTTCTTTTCTCTATTCTGCATTTGATGGCTTTTGCTCCAGTATTTAGTATCATTTTAGCCTGGCTATTCTAAAATTTAAACTTCTTTCCTTTATGTTTCAAAGACAAAAAAAATCTTCATATTCTTATTGTAGATTTCCATCAGAAGTTCATAATACTGTCCTTTTTTAAAAAAAAAAAAGATTTATTTATTATTTATTTGAAAACCAGAATTACAGGGAGGCAGAGAAAGAGAGAGAGGTCTTCCATCCACTGATTCACTCCCCAAATGGCTGCAACAGCCAGTGCTGGGGCAGGCTGAAGCTGGGAGCCAGGAGCTTCTTCCAGGTCTCCCATGCGAGTGCAGGGGCCCAAGGACTTGGTGCTTTCCCAGGCCCTAGCAGAGAGCTGAATTGGAAGTGGAGCAGCTGGGACTTGCACCAGTGCCCATATGTGATGCTGGCACTATGGGTGGCAGCTTTACCCACTATGCCACAGCGCTGGTTCCCTGTCCTTTTCTTTGACCCTCTAAACTAGTTTTCCTATCACTTATCCAGGATCAGTCTGCACATTGAAACCTTTCTTCAAATTCTTGCCTGAGAAGGGGAATGTCACCCCGTGTCTCTCAATAGTAGCTGACATTTTTTGATGCCTACTAGAAATGTGCAACTCCATCTGTAGCCCTAGATGTGTTTAGCTAAGCTGGCCTCTAAGTGTGAGGGGTTCCATTCATTGCCCTTATGATGCATGGAAACCCAAGGCACAGAGAGGTTGAAGGAGCTGCACTTTTCCATTGTTAGCTGCTCCACTAATCCTACATTGTTGTTTTTTATTTATTTTTTTAAATTAAAAAACAGAGAGAGGTCTTCTATCTGCTGATTTACTTTATTTTCTTGTTAAAGATTTTATTTATTTATTTGAAAGTTAGAGTTACACAGAGAGAGAAGGAAAGGCAGAGAGAGAGAAAGAGAGAGAGGTCTTGAAGCCGCTGGTTCACTCCCCAATTGACCGCAACAACCAGAGCTGGGCTGATCCGAAGCCAGGAGCCAGGCGCTTCTTCCGGGTCTCCCACGTGGAGGACTTGGACCATCTTCAGTTGCTTTCCCAGGCTCTAACAGAAAGCTGGATTGAAAGTGGAGCAGCTGGGACTCAAACCGGCACCCATATCGGATGCTGGCACTGCAGGCTGCGGCTTTACTTGCTACGCCACAGTGCAGCCCCTGATTCACTTCTAAATCCTTGTAACAGTTAGGGCTGGACCTGGCCAAAACAAGGGTCCAGGAACTCAGTCTGGGTCTCCCATTTGAATGTAAGGGACCAAACTACTTGAGTCATTACTGCTGCCCCCATGGTCCTCATTAGCTGGAAAGGAAGTAGAGCTGGGACTTGGACACTGTGATACGGCATGTGGGGCAGCCCAAGTAGCGTCTTGACCACTGCACCAAATGCTCAAACCCTAATCCTGAGTTTTAAGCTGTGCATCTATGGTTTTGGAAACTGGATAATGCCATTTCTTTAATAGCAGAAGGTAGTCCTTAATCTTCTTTTTTCACCATCCTGTATCATGTGTTATCCATCATGACTGGACATGCAGACTTCCTACATTAATATTACTTATGGACATAAGATATTTATATATTATGAACTATATATTTTATATTGTATGTTATATACACAATATATGTAATACATTAATATGATCTAGGAATGTTATATATTATATTTTGTAAATATTAAGTGTTATATTTATACATAAACTACATTAATATATTGATTATCCTCTACTGCATTCAATCATATTTTAAGGAATCTGTATATTTCATAAATGAACTACTAATTTCCTTTTTTTTAGATTTAGTTATTTATTTGAAAGGCAGAGTGACAGAGTTGGGGGGCGGTGAGGGAGGAAGACTTCAGTTGTCCATCCTCTGGTTTTCTCCATGCCGACAAGGTTGAAGTCAGGAGCCTGGAATTTCATCTGCGTCTCCATGTAGATGTTGGGGCCATCGTCCACTGCTTTTCCATGCACATTAGCACAGAGCTGGATTGGAGGCAGAGCAGCCAGGACTTGAACTGGTGCTCTGATATGGGATGCTGGCGTCATGGTCGGCAGCTTAACCTGCCAGCCCCTAAACTGTTAATTCTAACATATGCAGACTTTAATGAAGTCTGTCTGCACAAGGAGTGCCGGGACACATTCTGCCCAAAACACTGAGAGTGCTGCTGCACGGCTCTGGAACGCCTGGGTGAAGTCCTGCTGTGTCTTAGCTGTGTGCTTTCTGTCCATAACTTTGAACCAGTGTCACTGAGAGGAGAAAGATGGAGGATTGGCCCTACAGAGTTCAGAGTACAAACTTTATTTTTTAAGATAGATTTATTTATTTATTTATTTATTTTGAAAGGCAGAGTTGCAGAGGCAGAGAGAGGTCTTCCATCTGCTGATTCACTCCCCAAATGGCCACGACAGCTGGAGCTGGGCCGATCCAAAGCGTCTTCCAGGAGCTTCTTCCAGGTCGCCCACGCGGGTGCGGGGGCCCGAGGACTTGGGCCATCTTGTACTGCTTTCCCAGGCCGTAGCAGAGAGCCGCCTCAGAAGTGGAGCAGCCGGGACTTGAACCGGCTCCCATATTGATACTGGCACTGCAGGGGTGGCTTTACCCGCTATGCCACAAACTTTTTTTTTTTTTTTTAAAGGCAAATCTGTCATAGTTATTTTAAAATTTTGGAAGTAGAAAGTGATATGAGGGTACTTAAGGGGACAGCGTTGTGGCACAGTGGGTTCAGCCACTGCTTGTAATGCAGGAATCCCATGTTGGAGAACAAGGTTGAGTCTCCAAATGCTTGGCTTCCAATCCAGCTCTCTGCTGACGCTGCTGGGAAAGTGGTAGATAATGGTTCCTGTTGCCTTCCTGGGAGACCAGGATAGAATTCCAGGCTCCTGGCTTGTTGTGGCCATTTGAGGAGTGAACCAACAGATGGAAGATCTCTCTGTCCCTCTGCCTTTCAAATAAATAAATAAATAGTAGAAAAGAAAATTTGTGGGGGTGGGGGGAGCTGGCATTTGGCTGGTATTTAAGAGCAGTTGGCGTGAAAGGAAGGAAGGTCTCTTTAGGGCCCACATCTCATACCAGAGTCCCTGTGTTCTAGTCCTGGCTCTGCTTCCATTCCAGCTCCCTGTTAATATACACCCTGGGAAACAGCAGGTGATGCCGCAAGTAATTGGATTCCTGTCAACCACAGGGGAGACCCGATTGAGTTCTGGGCTCCTGGCTTTTTCTCTAGCCCAGTCCTTGCAGTTGTAGGTGTTTGGGGAGGGAACTAGCAAATGGAAGATCTGTGTATTTGTTTGTCACTCTGCATTTCAAATAAAAATTTTTAAAGTTCATGTACAGTGGAATTAGAAATATAAATTTTGGTGCAAAACCATTTTGAAATCTGTGCATAGTTTTTCATGTTTTTTTTTTTCATTAATTTTTTGAAGACCTCTTATGAAACATTAGTGTTTTCTTTCTCCAGAATGAACAAATATTGACATTTTTCATTCTCTTTTTATTATTGTTAAATAGAACATTACAGATTAGGTTAAAATCTTTATCTTTCACCCTGAACCTCCCTTGCCCCTTGAAAGCATCTTCTATTGGATTTGGAGAACATTCTAGAAGTCTATGTTTATTTTCTCTTATGACAAGTAAGTGTAAGTAAACAACAGTCCTGTATTTTTAAATTCTATAAAGGTCACTTTACTGAACCAATAATTCCACTTCTTTGCATTTTTGCTTAGCATTCCTTTTTTTTTTTTTTAACTTTTATTTAATGAATATAATTTCCAAAGTACAGCTTGTGGATTACAATGGCTCCCCCCACCCCCGGCATTCCAGTTTTGACATCAGTCCTTAATTTATTGACCTACTCACCTATTGATGGACACTTAGGTTGTTTCTTTGTGTGTGTCTGGTGCATGTACCAGTGTGTGTTAGACCATGCTGGATGTTGCCAAATTGTCCTAAAAAGAGTTGTTCCAATGTACTGTCAATGTGTGTATGCTAATCTCCATGTTTCTCTTCTACTACCCAGTGAAAAGAAAGTCCATCCCCCTATATAGCCCAGAATCCAAAGGTTGAGTTGCACTGACTGACAGCCATTGAAAGATTTTTTTATCACCTGCACATTATCCTTGCCAAGAGCAGCTGGCATGAATGAAGATAGAAGGGGATTTCAATTTGTCACAGTCCTGGTGTTTTTTGGTGGAGGAGATAATAGGAGAAAATGTGTTTATGCTATGTGAGGCAGTTTATATGTACCATCTCATCCACTCCACATACCTGAGACATGTATGTAAAGAATCAGGATGATTGACTCATCCAGCATCAGCCAACCAAGCATCCAGTGGCAGAGACAAGATTCAGACCAGGATGACCAGTGTCCCTGTTGAGAATTAAAATTTGTGTTTGCAGTTCTCAGGTCTATCAAGAATATTTCTTAGACTTAAGTCTTTCATTTTTAATTGACCAAGTATCCCTGAGTTTGCTAGGGTCTTCAAAAAGTTAATGGAACATGGAATTAAAAAATAATGTAAGGGTTGGCATTGTGGCACAATGGGCTTGGTTGCTGCTTGTGATGCTGGCATCCCATATGAGAGTGCTGGTTCAAGTCCTGGCTCCCCCACCTCCAATCCAGCTTCCTGTTAATGTGCTTAAGAAGGCAATGGAAGATGGCCCGAGCACTCAGGCCCCTGCCAGCCCAGGGGGAGACCCAGATGGAGTTCCTGGATCCTGGCTTCAGCCCAGCCCATCCCTGGGTATTGCAACTATTGGGGAGTAAGCTAGTGAATGGAAGATCTTTCTCTTCCTCTCCCTCTGTCATTCTGGCTTCTAAATAAATAAATGAATCTCTTTTAAAAAGGTAATGAAAAATTTCCATGAACTTTTTGAAGCCCTTGATATAATATTATTTAAAATATATATCATTGGGGCCAGGTTATGGCGCAGCAGGTTAAGCTGCCCCCTATGATGCCAGCATCCCATATGAGCACCAGTTTGAGTCCCGGCTGCTCCACTTCCAAAAATCCAGCTCCCTACTAATATGCATAGGAAAGCAGAAAAAGGTGGCCTGAGTACTTAGGCCCCTGTACCCATGTGGGAGACCTGGGTAGAATTCCAAGCTCCTAGCTTTGGCCAAGCTGAGCCCTGGCCTTTGTGGCCATTTAGGTAGTGAATCAGTGGATCAAAGAAAAGGAGATGAATTTAATCAGAGTATGCATTCTTTGGAGTTCTAGAGAGTCTTCAGTTTCATGTGTAGCCTTGTTGATTCATTTGTGTTGATGTGTAATATCCCATGTGCAACTATACTGTTCGATTATTTGCCTGTGACAGATACTTGGTTTCCAGTTATAGGCTCTCAGGAGTAACGCTACTGAGGACTTTGATGATGTGTCCTTTGATGTCCATACTTCTGGTGGTGTACACTGAGGGGTGGGATATGCATGAACTGCCTCAGTACCAGTAGGTTCTACCAAGCAGTTTTCCATACAGGGTGTCATCAGGATACCATTTGAGTCTCTGATCAGTGTTACATTTCCTCAGTGATGGTGAACAGCTTAATATGTCTTTGACAGGGTGAGCAGGGAGTTTGTTTCTGAGAGATAAAAAGCCAGAGGTCGTTTGTTTTCTTCCTTCAAATGATGACTAGATTGACAGACCTGTCTGCTGCTCCTGAGTGGGGTCACCTTGAAGGCCATGTGTGCAGGGCTTGCTGGGCCCTGTAGTCTTAGCTCTTGGCTCTGAAATACCCCCCTCCCAGTTATATTGCTGGTGGTTGCCACTACCTTCCTGCCAGCCCGTGGGGCAGCCCTCCATTGCCTGTAGCACAGTGTAGTAAGCTAAGCGGGTTGCGGAAGCAAGATTTTACCAAAGATTCAGGGTGGCAGACAGGAAGCCAACCCCGAGAGCTCTGGTCCTAGTTTACCCTGATCTTCCTATTGGGCAGCCTCTATCCCTGCTCCTTGCTGTTGTAAGTGTTCTTCCTTGTCAGTGATAGACCCATTCCTGCCCGGGGTCTCTGAGGGACACCTCTGTGGCTGTGTTACCATTTCCGACTCCCACATGGGAGTAACTCAGAGAGAGAGGGGTTCTGTTCCCAGGAAGCCACATGTACAGTAGACTCACCTGGTCAGCACACGTGATGGGCCTTGAGCCACACAAGTGCCTGGATGAAGCTTCTCCCAGCAGGTCAGCCATTCTTGTCCCATGGGCAAGTGAGTAACAGTGTCAGTAGCACTGACCAGGTATTACTGGTTACTACTACACCAGGTAAGATGGTGTTGGGTGCTGTGCTGAGCGGGCCACAGGCAACCCCTTCCCCTGAAATCCCCAGCAGGAATGAGGAAGGGAAGCTTCCCCGGGCAGCAGGGGTGGGATGTGAAGCCCTGTACGGCCTCAGCGAAAGCTGGATGGCGATGCCTGTGCCAGTCAGGCTTTTCCCAGGCCTGAAGGCTCATCTGGTCCCACCAGTATAGCCTTTTGTGTCTCAAGGAGGAAAACCCTTAGTTGCTTAGGGCTAGGGATAGCAGTAGAAAGAATTTGTGAAAGAAGACCTTTGAGTTTGTTAGGAGGACATTTTATACTGGTGACATTTGCCACGTATTTACTCCTTCTTTGTCTTTTGTAACAGCAAAAGGTGCTTTTGTCACAGTGGGTAGACAGTGACGACGATGAAAATCCGTGTGAGCCAGATGGATTTCCAGGCTCCCCTCCTGTGCCACAGCATGCACAACGAAAAGGTAAGCAACTAACCAAACAGAAAATAGCTTCAAAACTTAACAGCAGTTTGTAGCCATAAAGGATGGTGACTTCGGGGGAATGCAGGCATCTCCCCTCTATACTGTGGCTCTATGATGTTTTAACTAGGATTGTACTTTGAAATTTATTTTCATTGAAAATAAGCACTCAGTCAGCTGCCCCAAGTGCAGGGTGCCCACTTGTGAGCCCCTGTTGTCTGCTCTCTGAGCTGTGAGAGAACTCATGGCCAGGGTGGGGGAAGGAGGGTCCTGGCTCTGCTATGAAGCTCTGCATGCACCTTTCCTCGGCTTCCAGGCGCCTGGTGCTCCCTGGAATGAGTGGACACAATCATCTGTCCAGTCTTCTATGCTGGCCCCAGGGCCTGGGCTGTTAGGTGAGTGGGTGGGTGGAGGTATTTCCAATTCAGTTCTGTACGTGAGCATTACCAGTCCTTATGTATTTTATTTGGCACAGTGAGAGAGAGAAGACAGCACATAATGGCACGGTAGGACACAGTTTTCAGCTTCCCAAGAGGTACCTTACATCTAGGAAGTGAGAGAGCCTGGCACATAGTGAGCAAAAGGAAACTCCTTTGTCAGGGCCCTTGGAGCTGCCGGGCTCCTGAAACTCTTAGACTTTGTGACTAGAAGACAGAATGCTAGCCTAGTAACACTGGAATATTGAATCCATGTAAAAAGTGTGTCTCTTCTTTAATTAGAGAAGAAATATCTGTCTTTGCAAAAAAAAAAAATCAAATACAGAAATCTTATACTCCCATAGATGATGATTTTTAGCAGTTTTAAGTATGTGTATATAAGATACATACTATTTTGTTACCTGCCTCTTTTTTCTTCTCCTCTTTTTTTCCTTCCTTCCTTCCTTCCTTCCTTCCTTCCTTCCTTCCTTCCTTCCTTCCTTCCTCTCTCCCTCCCTCCCTCCCTCATTTATTTATTTAAAAGGCATAGTGACAGAAAAAGATCTTCCATCTACAGGTTCACTCCACAATGACCACAATGGCTAGGTGGTGGGCCAGGCTGAGACCAGGAGTCTGAAATGCCATCCAGGTCTCCCACATGGGTGGCAGGAGCCCAAGCACCTGAGCCATCTTCTGCTGCCTTCCCAGGTGCAGGTGCGTTAGCAAGAAGATAGATTGTAAGCAGAATAGCCAGGAATCAATTCAGCACACTGATATAAGATGCAGGTGTCCCAAGTGATGGCTTAACTGACCCACTGTGCCACATACTATCCCCTGTCTCTTTCATCTCACAGTGCATCCTGAAGATCTTCCTATGTCTGTGTGGCTTTTTTCCTCTGTTTTCTTTTTTTAAAGATTTATTTATTTATTTGAAAGAGTTATAGAGAGAGGAGAGGCAGAGAGAGAGAGAGAGAGGTCTTCCATCCGCTGACCCATTTCCAATTGGCCACAATGGCTGGAGCTGCGCTGATCCAAAGCCAGGAGTCTCTTTGTCTGCCATGTGGGTGCAGGGGCCCAAGGACTTGGGCCATCTTCCACTGCTTCCCCAGGCCATAGCAGAGAGCTGGATCAGAAGTGGAGCAGCAGGACTAGAACCAGCGCCCATATAGGATGCTCACACTGTAGGCGGGGTTTTACCCACTACACCATAGCACCAGCCCCTCTCTGTTTTCTGACATCTCTGCTGGGTGGCCTGATGTGTCACCTATAAATCAGGATCCAGTCAAGAGACAGAACTCAAAAGTAACTGAAGAGAGAAAATTTAATATAGGAAATCTTCAAAAAAGTTCATGAAAACTGGACATTAGGCTAAAACTCACAAGGATTTTAACTTTATTGCACCAAAATAAACTTATGTTTTAATTCAATCTGTGGATTTTTAAAGAATATTTATTTTAATTTTATTTGAAAGAGAGGCAGAGACACATCTTCATCTGCCCATTTACTCCCCAGATACCTGCAACAGCCAGGACTGGGCCAGGCCAGTGCTGGGAGCCTGGAAGTCCATCCAGGTGTCCCATATGGATGGCAGATACCCAAGGACTTGGGCCATCTTCCACTGTCTCCCAGAGGGCAGGCACACATTAACAGGAAGCTGGATCAGAAGCAGAGGAGCCAGGAGTCCAACCAGGCACTCTGATGAGGGATGAGGGCGTTCCAGTGGCGACTTATCCCTGTGTCAGACATTCATGTCCTTGAACTTTTTGAAGCCCCCTCCAATAAAGAATGATTGATTACAGCAGGATTGCCTACTGAGAGGTAAAGAGAACACACAAGAATGCAGCACCAGCAGCTGCTCCCTAGGCTGATGATGCAGAGTCTCTGAGAGGAGAGAAACCCGGGAGAGCCTTACCCAGAGCTGGTGTCCAGACCTTGTTGGAGAGAGGGTGGCCGTGGCCTGCAAGAGGCAGTTAAGGTGCTGCCCTCTCAGGTAGGGTGTGTCAAGGGAAGCCACCCATGGGCAGCTGCTGCTGGTTGCTGGCCACCAAAAAAAAAAAAAAAAAAAAAAAAAAAAATAATAATAATAATGGGGAGCACAGGGAAAAGAAGTCTAATCCTGAGGCAAATTCCTCTCTCCCATGTCTCTCCAGCGCCCTCTACTGATGAAGCGTCTGATGCCTCTGGCAGGGACAAAATGTAACAAGCAGGCAGTGACAGGTGGATCCTGAAACATGAGCTTGGAGCACAGGTGCTGGCTGTGCGGGATTGCAGCTCTTGCAGTGGTCCTTGGTTTGTGGAAGGCATTGAAAGGCTCTGGTCACTGGAGGAAAATCTCCATAGGTCAAATTCTAGTTCTGTGGCCCTGGGCCAGGCCCTCAGCTGTCTTTGCAGCAAGTGCCTGGGGAGTCTGATGTGGGTAATCCACAGACAACATGTCAGGAACCTTTCTGTGGCTCTCAGTGTTCCAGTTTTCCCCTCTGTCATTTCTGGGTGACAAGAAGCATAGTGAAGTGACTGCACCCTTCTTTGACACCGTCTGGGACGGTCTCTCTTGTCAGGTTACAGTACGGATAAGTGGAATGACACATGTATATCCCAGTGCCTTCCCTCAGTCTTCATCCACTCTGTGTTGGCACATGAATGCAGAGCTAGATTGGAAGCAGAGTAGCTGGGACTTGAATCAGCACTCCAATGTGGGATCAGGCATCCCAAGGGTGGCTTAACTTGTGTCACAGTGCCCACCCCCATTACAACTTTTGACAACAGGAGTGTATTTCTGTAAAGGTTGGGACAGTCCCTAGCATGATAATCTTTGCAATAGGATGCCCGTGTAGAAGACTTGTGTTGTTTTAATTGTGTGTACTCCTAGCCCATGATAGAATTGCAGAAGGGAAGACTGTGGAAATCTTTGTAAGGGATGATAAATAAGGAAACAGGGGGAAGAAATGTGTACATCAGTCGAAGGAGCAGCACAGACGCAACATGCCAAAGAGAACTTGGGTGATAGAAAGCGTAGCTTTAATTTCCATCATATTCTTTTTCTGATAAGTGATAACTAAGATACTAGAGAAATTATTAGTTTCTTGGGGAAAATATTTGAATTTTCCTTTTAAACCTTTTATTATAATTTTGAACATGGACAAAAGTAGAGAGAAGATTGGAATGAACTCCCACCTGCTCATCACCCAGCTTCTGGAACTGCCAGAATTTTCTCTCTCTTTTTTTTTAAAGATTTATTTTTATTTATTTGAAAGAGAGTTACAGAGAGGGGTAGAGACAGATAGAGAGTGGTCCTCCATCTGCTGGTTTACTTGCCAAATGGCTGCAATGGTCAGAGCTGAGCCAATCTGAAGCCAGAAGCTTCTTCCAGGTCTCTGACATGGATGTAGTGGCCCAAGGACTTGGGCCATCCTCCGCTTCTTTCCCAGGCGCATTAGTGGGGAGCTGAATCAGAAGTGGAGCAGTCAGGAATTGAACTGGCACCCTTATGGGATGCTGGTGCTGCAGACTGATGCTTAACCCACTGCACCACAGCACCGGCCTCAACATTTTCTCTTTCTTCTTAATTTAATTCCATGTTGGCACCACTCTATTTTGTGAAGAATTTAAAGAGGACCTAGAAAACTCCATTAAATTTATAGAAGCAATAAGACCCAATGTAGCATTGTAGGAGATGGTATCAAAACTGTTTTAAGGATGTTACCTATTTTAAGGATGTGAATTTATTATTTATCACTTGAAACGTTCACTCATCAGAAATTATTCAGCGTCCCTAGTGTGTATCAGAGATGACAGAGCCACAGGCTCTTCCCCTCACATTCCAGTAGTGGAGGAGGATATGTTCAGTGGACTGTTCTCTGGAGCACCAAGGAGTGGAGGTGGGCACAAAGACCAGGGAGCAGTTAGTGTTGTTTGCCTTAGAGAAGGCGGCAAGGAGAGGTTTCACTGTGCTGGATGTGGAAGAAAAGGGTAGGGTTTTACCAGTTGACAGTCTAAGTTGTCCTGGGACATTTGACCTGAAACGGTTTGCTTAAAAGCAGTTCATCAGGGCTGGCATAGTGGCACTGCAGCAGGTTAGGTGCCACTTAGGACGCCATTATCCCATATGAGTGCTGGGTTGAGTCCCAGCTGCTCTGCTTCTGATCCAGCTCCCTGCTAATGCACCTGGGAAAGAAGAGGAAGATGGTCCAAGTACTTGGGCCCCTGCCACCCACGTGGGAGACTTGGATGCAATTTTGAGCTCTTGGCTTCAGCCTGGCCCAGCCTTGGTGGTTGTGGCCATTTGGAGAGTGAAGCAGAGAATGGGAGATCTCTCTCTGTCTCTGTTTCTCCCTCTCTACTGTTACTGTGCCTTTCAAATCTTTTATTTTTAAGGATTTATTTATGTATTTGAAAGGCAGAGTTACAGAGAGGCAGAAGCCGAGAGAGAGAGAGAGAGAGAGAGAGAGAGAGAGAGAGAGAGAGAGAGAGATATCTTCCGTCTGCTGGTTCACTCCTTAGTTGGCCACAATGGCTGGAGCTGCGCTGATCTGAAGCCAGGAGGCAGGAACTTCTTCCAGGTCTCCAATGCAGGTGCAGGGGCCCAAG